GAGGGGGGTGGGGGGGGCGGGGTGGGGGGGGGGGGGTGGGGGTGGGGGGTGGGGGTGGGGTGTGGGGGGTGGGGGGGGGAGGGGTGGGGGTGGGGGTGCGGGGGTGGGTGGGGGGGGGGGGGGGGGGGGGGGGGGTGGGGGGGGGGGGGGGGGTGAGGTGGGGGTGGGGGGGTGGTGGGGGGGGGTGGGTGGGGGGTGGGGGTGGGGGGGGGGTGGGGGGGGGGTGTGTGGGGGGTGGGGGGGGGGGGGGGGGGGGCGTGGGGGGGGTGGGGGGGGGGGGGGAGGTGGGGGGGCGGGGGGGGGGGGGGGGGGGTGGGTGGGGGGGGGGTGGGGGGGTGGGGGGTGGGGGGGGGTGGTGGGGGGGGTGGGGGGGGGGGGCGGGGTAGGGGGGGGGGGGGGGGGGGGGGGGGGGGGGGGGGGGGGGGGGGGGGGGGGGGGGGGGGGGGGGGGGGGGGGGGGGGGGGGGGGGGGGGGGGGGGGGGGGGGGGGGGGGGGGGGGGGGGGGGGGGGGGGGGGGGGGGGGGGGGGGGGGGGGGGGGGGGGGGTGGGGGGGGGGGGGGGGGGGGGGGGGGGGGGGGGGGGGGGGGGGGGGTGGGGGGGGGGGGGGGGGGGGGGGGGGGGGGGGGGGTGGGGGGGGGGGGGGGGGGGGGGGGGGGGGGGGGGGGGGGGGGGGGGGGGGGGGGGGGGGGGGGGGGGGGGTGGGGGGGGGGGGGGGGGGGGGGGGGGGGGGGGGGGGGGGGGGGGGGGGGTGGGGGGGGGGGGGGGGGGGGGGGGGGGGGGGGGGGGGGGGGGGGGGGGGGGGGGGGGGGGGGGGGGGGGGGGGGGGGGGGGGGGGGGGGGGGGGGGGGGGGGGGGGGGGGGGGGGGGGGGGGGGGGGGGGGGGGGGGGGGGGGGGGGGGGGGGGGGGGGGGGGGGGGGGGGGGGGGTGGGGAGGGGGGGGGGGGGGGTGGGGGGGGGGGTGGGGGTGGGGGGGGGGGGGGTGGGAGGGGGGGGGTGGTGTGGGGGGGGGGGGGGTGGGGGGGGTGGGGGGGGGGGGTGGGGGGGGGGGTGGGGGGGGGGGGGGTTGGGGGGGGTGGGTGTGGGGGGGTGGGGGGGGGGGGGGTGGTGGGGGGGGGGGGTGGGGGGGGGTGGGGGTGGGGGGGGGGGGGGGGTGGGGTGGGAGGGTGGGGGGGGGGGTGGGGGTGGGGGGGGGGGGGGTGGAGGGGGGGGGGGGGTGGGGGGGGGGGAGGGGGTGGGGGGGGGGGGGGGGGGGGGGGTGGGGGGGTGGGTGGGGGGGGGGGGTGGGGGGGGGGTGGGGGGGGGGTGGTGGGGGAGTGGGGTGGGGGGGGTGGGGGGGGTGGGTGGGGTGGGGGTGGGGGGTGGGGGTGGGGAGTGGTGGGGGGGTGTTGGGGGGGGGGGGGTGGTGTGGTGGGGGGGGTGTGGGGTAGGGGGGGGTTGGCGGTTGGCAGGGGGTAGGGGGTGAGTTGAGGGGGGGGGTGTGGCGGGGTGGGTTGGGGGGTGGTGGCGGGGGGTGGAGTGGGGTGGGGGTGAGTATGGTTGAGGGGTGGGGGGTGTGCTTGGGATGGGAGGAGGGGGTTGTAGGGGGTGGGGAGGTTGCGGATGGGGTGGTGTGGGCTGCTGGGGGGGGGGGGGGGGGGTGTGTGGGGGAGTATGGGGGGGGGGTGGTGAGGTGAGGGTGAGGGGGTTGGGATGGGTGATGAGTTTTTTTTGATGGGTGGCGCGTGGGCTAGGATGGTTGGGTGAGTGTTTTGGGGGGTGGGGTTGTGAGGTGATGGGGGGGGGGGGGTGGGGGGTTGGGGTGGTTGGGGGTTGGGTGGGTGTGGTGTGGTTGGGGTGGGTGGGCGGGGGTTAGGTGAGATTTGTGGTGTGGGGTGGCGTGGGGAGGCGTTGGGGTGGGGGTGGCGGGGTGTGTATATTTTTTTTTTGTGGAATTGTTTATTTTTGGGTGTTTGGTTTGTGTGTTGTTGTTAGGGTTAATTTTAGCATGTGAAGTACGATAGGTGAGTTAGGGGGTTAATATTTTTTTGGGGGAGGTAGTATGGTGTATGTCTTTACTATACGTGATTGTTGTTATATTAATTTTATATATTTTGTTTTTTTTTTTTCTGCCGATGGTTTCAATTGAGTTATGTTATATTAATCTGTATTTATTATGGTGTATAAGTATTTTTATTTTTTTGTATATTTTTTTGTAATAGTATATGTATTTGTTATATATTGTTAGTTTTTATTTTATATATTTTGAGGTTTTTTATGTGATGTTATTAATGGTTCTTATGGTTTTAATTTTGTTCTGGCGTGTAGAGTTATTTATATTTTTTTATGTTTTTGTTGGTTTGTACCTCTACTATATTTAGTTTATATGGGTTTATGAATTATTCTTGTTATTATGTATTTTTTGATTCATTCAATCAAATAAATTCGTTGTTCTTCATGTGTGCATTTGAATGGTTGGTAAGAGCAATAAGCAGCGATAAACGTGAGTTACCATATTGACACTACAGCACAAAGAGTGTGGTTTACTTCCCATCTATACTATGCAGCGCGCTTATACGTATCTAGATGTTCTTTTTCTACTGGCTGATCACGCACAAGAGCTTAGTCGTTAAAAAATAAAGTCCACGTAGAAATGGCGATTAGCCATAACATCAGGCTATTCGGTCTTTATTTTCCATTTATTAAAGCAAGCAAATATGTTGAGCATTCCAATGAATCAATGAACCCCCGCTGGTTCGGGGTTTAGAACTATATATTTCCTCCGCGTCTTCATAAAACGACAAGGCTCATCAGACAATTCTTAGCCCAAGTTCTTCGTAAGTACTCATCTGTAAAGCAAATAACACTTGCTGCAATGTTGATTGAGGCGTGGAATGCAAAACTTATAAATTACCCAGGTTTATCAGTATAATAATTAGGTAATGCATTTGACTGTACATTTGCTAAATAAAATTAAAAGGCAGAATGTAGTACAAAAAAGTATAAACAGTAAAAATCCAATAAATCAGTTAGTAAAACTTCGAATTTCGAAATTGCGTATATATGACTAGCGTCTGTCCTACACAGCTTCTTTACTACCATTTTCAATATGAATGGCCATCTTAGTTTGTTTTAATAACAACAGTAACGAAGAGCATCGCTATAGCTAAACAAAACAAGATTAACTATGTTTAGTTATTAAATCAGTCTGGAGTTACAAATGATTATTGGAATCTTTCAAAGAGAAGCAAGCATTTTGTCAGGAAAAGACAATCAACTTAAGAATAATGTTTATTTAGAAGGTTAGAAGCTGCGCCCATAATTGACACAGATCACATAGTTACATGTACAGTCAGGCTCTTGCACGAGCAATATGAACCTAACTTTTTTATATTTATCTGTAATTCCTGCAATTTATTTATCTCCTAGGTCCCTGTTTTATGGAAAATAAGAAGGCACTTTTAAGTTTGAGCATAATGGAAACACAGATGGGTAATTGCACTGCGTAAACATTTGGTAGTACATTTATAAGACGCTATCTGGACATTCATTAATTGATTGTTAATTGATCTTCCTAACGAACAAAAGGACAAATAGGCGTCCAGGCCGAGTTGGCGTCCCAGCTTACTGCGAAATGATAACACATTCCCGCACGAGCCAATTGTGATTGGGAGCTGACTCCACAGTGCAACATATCTGTTTAGAAGAATGTTCACTGATTAGCAGTATAACCAGGGTAAAATCTTCTATACGAGGACCCCAAGTGAAACTGTGCTGCAATGTTTATGTGGGTAGGTTTTAGTAGCCAATGCCATGAATCAGATTGTACATCAATATCAAGTTATGCTATAGTCTTCGCAACCATAGTGGCACCGCTCCGATATCACTTGGTCAATTATTCTCTAATACACGTAATTGAACTTTAGAGCCTTTTGCTTTTCGGCCATAGTACCGGATGTTGCCACATATTACGCCTCAATGTTGTATGATGGGACCAGTGAAGAATGAAACTGTTCAAACTTGGCAGAGATTATAAGCGCCCTATGCAACATATTAGCCAAGGATTGCCTAGCTACTTCTATCTGCTTTGCAATCTGTTCAGCAATTTAAACTTACAGGAATATCCGCTTTCAAAGTCACGTGTAAACTGTTGTACCCAGGTGCATTTGTTGTTTAGTGTGAGAGATTTTTCGGTTATTATATAGCCATGGTCCGTGATTTTTGCATTTTGTGCTAGGAAATGCATCATTCCCTTGTCGCACCATTTCTCAAGCGACTAAATGTACACTTACATGATTTGTAATGTGTCATGAAGATCAACTCTTCACTTGGTACGTACGGCTCACCAAGTGTGATTACCAGGCTGATACCACTGGTACAAAGCAGGAGCAGTAATGCATTGAGCGGAGTTCATTTTATAGTTCCGCTAGTAACTGCACGCGGAGAACAGCATTGGTCGCTTTAAGTGGCTATGTGAGTTTGAGCGTCCAGGTATGAGAATAACCAACCAAGTTTTACGTACTATACTCCAAAGGAAGCTCTGTTACTGGTAAGCGTTTTTGGAGGCACCCAATGAAATATCGTGTGTATGCCCGAGAATAGAATAAGGATAATATATTTTGTGTCTACGGATTCAGAAATATGGTTCAAATAAGGCAGCAGGCATGTTGTTCTCGACCTCTTGTTAAAAATCCCAGTTGGGACTTGTCAAGAAGATGCGATTTGCTGATAAAAAGCATCACATCATTTTTAACTAATTTTTGAATGCCCTGGCGCCTACATAAGTTTGATGAATAGGTCTGCAACTGTTAATCTTCTGTATTTCGCCACCCTTTGGCGACCGATGATAAACAAAATATTCCATTGATCTGGAAAGTCGCTTGATCCTTGTGAAATGGCAAATTCATTTAAAATGAGCAACGGCTTATCATACCCACGAAATTTTTGGGCTATATGTGTGACGTAGGATGGTTGAAAGGCTGTCTTGTCTAGACTATGTTGTGAAGAGAAACATCAATTCTAAGTGTAATCATACTGGTCCTTATATCAATGTGTGTATTTATAGTGTCAGTCTCCAAATTTTCGATAAGTCAAAGAACGAGCTTAGTCTTCTCAGATTGCGACTTGTTACTGGAATATGCAGCCATCTTCGTTTGTCATTTTAGTGATCGATGAGGAGCCGTTCGCAGTTCCTTGACAGAGAATTTCGACAAGATTTATAACTGCACACTTTAGTCGTAGCCAGATTGGATAACTTTTGAGCATATCACATCATTTACAAAGTTTTATTCTCGAAGTATCACTTGAAAGGCGCTTTGTGGATGCTGTCTGCAACTGTTCCAATACAATGTGCCAGTGTTTTGATAAGCTACTATAAACATTACACAATATTGCAGCATAAGTTGCAGAACCGAGATATAAGAATGGCTTGATGCCGCATGTAACGTAAGAATCATAAATACTAACCAAATGTTCTGTTTTATCATTGTCGTAACATATTTCGCTTGTTTACAGACGTTAAGTGAGTGCGCATATCACACACTAAAGTTATGTTATAGTGGGACAGAGATTAAATGGCTCGTCATCGAGATTCAGGCCGCAATGAGTCAACTTGCAATTGTAGATGATGGCACAACATGTGTGAGCGGAAAACAACCATTGTTAATTTGTTCATAACGTTCCAAACCCATATCATAGGAAAACCAGTTTTGCAACGGTCTTTTATCGAGGATGTAAAAAATTTGCGAGGTGGCATACCCCATTACTTTTGGAAAATGCAAATATTCAACCAATCACTGTACTTAAAACTAATTGTCATGCGACTGTTTTCTGCATGACGCGGGTATCCGTTACTCGAGGGTTATGTAACGATTCGTAGTATCCAGTTAGCTTTTAGTTATTTAAAGTCTAGTACTTAAATACTGGCCATGTTTGGAAGCCCAGTCAACGACAAACGCATTAGAATGAGGGAACTATTATTTTTAAACTGGTGGTTTGTTCAAAAGCCTACTACTCAAGGTTGGTTGGATAAAGCATACAGCTTCTGGCATGCGCGCTTTGAGTAGAGTCAGATCAGCAGAGTTCCTGATTTGCCTAATCATAAAGACAACGCAAGACATAAATAAAACTTACTAAGCTGCCATTCATGTAACTGGATCCGTCATTTATGTAAAACCATACATTTCTTCATAACATATTCACCAATGTAGATTGATCATCTGGGCTATATGGGAGAAAAGAAAAATCCGCAGTAGCCTATCAGCTGGGTCCGCAATGTCCGTGGAATTGTTGTAGATCCCTGTGAAGTTTTCCACAAATACCTACATTAGTCCAGTGTCTAATGAATTCTATCATATATTACAGCTCTTTTGGTTACAATGCAGATGGCAGTACAAACCAGTGCTGAATTTGGAAACCAACGAAGTTTAATCCAACCGTTCGCAGTCACATGATATTGGTTTTCATACCTTTCCGGATATCCGTGTA